AATCCCACAAACTCCGTCAGCGCTCCAGACCGCCTGCACAAAGCAAAGCCTACAGCCTCCACTGTGGCTCCCGTCTGTTCCGCTCTGAGTTCCTTGGAGATTGTAGAGGGCATGCGCCAGATGATTAAATTCAAAGCAGCAAAACATGCGGAAATGATCCAAGGTTTCCGCGGATCATTAAAAATAGTTACAATTCATTAGTTTTTTTGGATTTTTTCATAAATTTTTATGGGATTTCAGGGTAACAATCAACATATACCGAACCGAACCGAAAACCGTGAACCGTTCCACCCCTACCACACACCCAAGATGAAAAGTGGGCAGACGCCTCATTCATCCAGTGCTGTTTAGTTTTTTTCTCCACACTTTATTCCACACGTCCATCTGCTGTCTCCACCAACCGACACGTCTTAATATTTGAAATTTAATTGCTTTATTTTAGCAATTAAGTTCATCAGTTCCTCATCCTCAGTTCCCTCTGCGACCGGCCTTCTCCCGCCAACGTCTCTACATCCAGAAAATAAACCTAGCCTCTTCTCCTCTGAAACCTCCGCTTGCTCCAAAACCTGACAACTCTCTCAATCCTCCAGCTGAATCCCCAGCCTGTGCTACACCCGCCTTAATATTTGAAATTTAATTGCTTTATTTTAGCAATTAAGTTCCTTTGACAGATTTTATTTAATTTTATCCATAACTACTTTTTGTTTGGTCACCATCAATTTACAGGGTTGTAAAAAAAAAAACTCTCAAAAGTCGATTTTAATTTTCATCAATTCCTTCTTAAAAGAAATTATGCTTTTAAACATTTTTTATTTTTCACTTATTTCTTTAATGGTTTTGTGACAAGTATTCTAAACTGGCACCAAAAATATATAGAGTAATCTATTGTCACAGAATTCATTTATAATATCTGATCAGCTTTTTGAACGTTTTTACTCCTACGTTGACATTTGGCTGTATGCGCCAACCCCTTAGGCCAGGAAGACCTCCTTACCATCACCCTAATCCAGGGATTTGCGCCTTTTACAATCCAAAAAAGCCATTTTTGACTTCAGTCCAGTTTATAAAACTAATTTAGAGTTGCAAAACATTGCATGTCCTTTTTCACAGAAAGAAAAAGATTATATGTATTAATAAATTCAATTCAGTTTATTTATATAGCACCAATTCACAACATGTCATCTCAGGGCTCTTTACAATCCAACCTGATTATCCACCACAGGAGCTTTTAAAGCTACAATCCTGCCATCACAAATTTTAGGCAATGGCAGGATTGCCTAAAGAACTTGTGAAAAGAGAATACACATATTTTCAAAGGGCTGATGACATTTTTGGAAAATGATGTTTAAAAAATAAAAAATCTCCCCTTAAAAAGATTCTAGAGATATATTCTAGAGATATATTTCTAATGCAATTATAATTAGTCAACTTATTATTATTATTATTTTGTGAATAAAAAAAAACAAAATACAATATTTGACTTCAGCTAACAAAACTGAATTGGAGCTACAAACAATATATGACAATATATGAAAGATTACTAATAACGTATCTACATAATTTTGGAAAATTGTGTTAACAGACCTACGGAAGAGGATTAGGGCCACTGGAAAAAAAAAAAAAAAAA